TAAAAATACAAAAAATTAGCCGGGCATGGTGGTGGCCACCTGTAATCCCAGATACTCAGGAGGCTGAGGCAGGAGAATCGCTTGAACCCAGGAGGCATAGGTTGCAGTGAGCCAAGATCATGCCATTGCACTCCAGCCTGAGCAACAAGAGCGAAACTCCGTCTCAGAAAAATAAAATAAAATAAAATTTTACATACTTTGAAGAATGGAGGGTGATTCATCACTGCCTATGCTTGTCATATAGTTCAACAATGTCACTTGCTATTTATGGCACTTCTACTTTAGTATCCAATCATGTTTAGATTTATTTATCATTCAACGTATTGAATTATGCAGTTTAACCTAATACAGTAATAAACAGAAATAGTAAAATGCCCCTCCCTCCAAGAAACCTCCTTTCAATATTTGCCTGTCATCTTTTCCTACAGGGATTGCACTAATATCTCTAGGAAGGAGTATAAGTTTAATGTGCCCTCCTGAATTCTACTGACCCTATGATAATTACAATGTCTTCTTCCATTATCCATTTTAAAAATTACACACGTCGTTATTACAGATTCTCCTTTCTATATCTAGTCCTCTACTTCTACTACTGAAGTTGTTAATAATCTTCCTTATTTAAAATGTCCTTGTTCATCTTCTCATTCATACATTTGCCCTGAATTTCCATTCCTGATTAAGTGAGGGCTTGGTGAGCAGGGCTGTTAACATGTGGGAGTAACAGAATTTGATGCCCAGGAAGATCTGAAACAGCAAAGTTGGAACAAGGCAGGAGGGCTGAACTGGTGTGAATAACTGCTGTATTTGTTGCTAACAGAAGTGCCACTCAGAAGGGGCACAGAAGCGAGGAGGATGGGAACGAGGCACAAGCTGGGAATCAGATGTGGAATAGAACAAGCAGGGTTCATAAGAGAAAGAAGGGCAACGCCTAGAAAGATTTCTCTTCGGCTTGGGAGTAGGCATGGGGGCTTCCAATATGGCACCTGAGACCCTGCCTATGGATGGAACTGAATCAGTTCAGGACACCAAGACTGTACACCTACATTTGTTCAACCAACAGCTGCACATCCACTGAGCCAGGTATTTGTAATACAAAGAAAACTAAGTCATTGTATTTTGTACATTAGATAATTATTATTTGAGATTATAAATGACTTTTGTGGAGGCAAAGAAAACATAAAGCCTTTTAAGACATTTTGCTTCCATACTGAAGTTGAGACAAAATATTTTGTTAAAAATGTAAATATACTTGCAGGAAATATGGTGAATCCTTTCAACACGTGTGGTTTCTTGTTCTTTCTATAAATCTTTGAAATATTTCTAGAATTGACAATCTCCCTGAACTAGAAAGGAAAGATAAACTTCAACTAAAGTAAGAACAAAATATATTTGGGAAAAAGCAACTTAAGCTGCAGGTACACTATTCTGGGTTAGAGGTATGTATTAATTATCAAAAAAAAAAGGAATCTTAGAATTTTGAAGTTGGTTTCCTGAAGTTATTTGTTCACATGTAGTATTTTCAGAAAATTAAGGGAAACCAAAAATAGAAATACAAACTTACCTGGTATACAACTATGTTATATTTCTACTTGTAATGTTTCACATCAAGTAAGACTACAGTAATTGTGGAAAAGAATCAAAAATGAAACCCAAACTGGACAAAGGATACAGTTATCTTTTCTGTTGTCTTCTAGACAGTGTCTTGCTCTGTCACGCAGGCTGGAGTGCAGTGGAGTGAGCATAGCTCCCTGCAGCCTCGAACTCCTGGGCTCAAGCAATCCTGCCACCTCAGCCTCTCAAGTAGCTGGGTCTGCAGGCACAAACCACCAAGCCCAGCTAATTTTTTTTAAACTTTTTTTTTTTTTTTTTGCAGAAATGAGGTCTTACTATGTTGTCCAGGCTGGTCTCAAACTCCTGGCTTCGAGTGACCTTCTGGTCAAGTTTGAGACCTCAAGGTCAAGACCTGCTAGTCAACTTTGAAAACTCAAGGTCTCAACTCCTAGACTGCCACCTTGGACTCTCAAAGTGTTGGAATTACAGGCATAAGCCACCATGCCCAGCCAAAGAAAGTTACCTTTTTGAATGAGTCTTCTTTATTTCAGAAAGAGAAAGACTGAAAAAGATAGGATCTTAGAGGGATATAGCTGAGTACAAATACTGAAATAAATTCTGAATACTAAACTTGGGCTACACTCTTTAAAGCTAAAGAGGTTAATGTGGCCGGGCACGATGGCTCATGCCTCTAATCCCAGCATTGTGGGAGGCTGAGATAGGTGGATTAACTGAGGTCAGGAGTTCAAGACCAGCCTAGCCGACATGGTGAAACCCTGTCTCTACTAAAAATACAAAAATTAGTCAGGCGTGGTGGTACGTGCCTATAACCCCAGCTACTCCAGAGGCTGAGGCAGGAGAATTACTTGAACTCAGGAGGTGGAGATCGCAGTGAGCCAAGATCATGGCACTGCACTCCAGCCTGGGTGACAGAGTAAGACTCTGTCTAAGAAAAAAAAAAGAGGTAAAGGTTAGGATAACTAAAAATCACTACTGTATAGCATGCATGTGGCTATACTGCCTTAAAGTGATGTTTTAAATTTCAACTTATGTTGTGCAATTTGGATTATATCTGTCTTTAGTGCACCACCCAGATAACTGCTTTTCTCTGCACACATGCAGAAATTAACGAAATTCTTGCCATAGCAGACATAATAAACATTTGCTCAATGGCCAGCACACATGAAATTAAGTAGAAATAAATACCTACCTTTACTTTAAAACTATAAAGGAGACAATTTATTATATTATGATAATAAAGATTAAGTGAATATTAATTTTTAAGATAGCACATCCTGGTTTATTCACTGGCAAAATGAATTTTAAGATAGCACATACTGGTACATTCACTGGCAAAATGAATTATTCAACATATGAATTTCTGTTAAACACAACGTAGAATATATAACAATTTGGCATACAATTGGCACAATATATGGTGTATTATTTATATGACCTTAAAAGGTAGATAGAAAGGACAATGCTTTTATTTTTGGCCAAACTAGGAGCTTAAAATTTGTTTCAATGTTTGCCTCTGTTTTGTGCTTCTAGGCCACACAGCCAATTCTGGGAGTGAAGCAATGTTGCCACCTACTGTGCATAGTGTGGTAATGATGACAAAGGAAAATGAACAAAGAGTAATAACACAGTTTTAAATAAATTATGAAGTAAAAATTAAACTAATCCATCCATACAAGTTACAGTACTCTTGACTGCATTGCCAGTAAAAATAGTTACTGAATAGAATTAACCAGGTCTGCTAGGAGTCCTGTGAAGGCAGACCTTTGGAGCTGTGGGCATTTATTTTTATTTTTATTTTTTAACAGATGGGGGTCTTACTATAATGTAGCCCAGGCTGGACTCAAACTCTTGGGTTCAAGTGATCCTCTCCTGTAGTGGGGACTACAAGAATATACCACTCTGCCTGGCTAAGGAGCTATGGGCTTTTAAGAGAGCCTTCACTGAAGTTTTTGGTGTGGGGTTTTTTTTTTTTTGAGACAGGGTCTAACTGTGTCACCCACACTGGAGTGCAATGGCATGATCACAGTTCACTGCAGACTTGACCTCCAGGAGATCATCTCATCTCAGCATCCAGAGTAGCTAGGACCACAGATATAGGCCACCATGCCTAGCTGAAGGTTTTGTTTTTTTTTTTAAACACACGTACATGGCTCTTCCAGGGACATTGTGTGCAGGCACTCAGAATGGTCCAGCGTTTGACATACCGACGTAGGCTTTCCTACAATACTGCCTCTAACAAAACTAGGCTGTCCCGGACCCCTGGTAATAGAATTGTTTACCTTTATATCAAGAAGGTTGGGAAAGCACCAAAATCAGCATGTGGTGTGTGCCCAGGAAGGCTTCGAGGGGTTCGTGCTGTAAGACCTAAAGTTCTTATGAGATTGTCCAAAACAAAGAAACATGTCAGCAGGGCCCATGGTGGTTCCATGTGTGCTAAATGTGTTCGTGACAGGATCAAGCGTGCTTTTCTTATCAAGGAGCAGAAAATCGTTGTGAAAGTGTTGAAGGCGCAAGCACAGAGTCAGAAAGCTAAATAAAAAATGAAACTTTGAGTAATAAAAATGAAAAAAAAAAAACACACGGACATGTACACACAATTTCCTGAATTTGTACAATTGTTTTTGCCTTCAACTCTTTTCACCTAACCCATCAATTTTATTATGATTTCTGTTCATGTTTTACTTTCCCATATTACCTTTTTCATAAGCTGATTTCCAAAATGACTTTTTTCTAGATGGTCTATACATAGTTCTCTCTCTCTCTCTCTCTCTTTTTTTTTTTTTCATAAAGATTCAAACTCCAATTTGCAACAATTCAGTCTGAGAGAATAGTTCTCAATTACAATCAGAGGCATTCCCAACATCAAATATGTTGGGCTAACTACCCTCAACTAGGTACTAAAATATAATTTCCAATGCTACGAAGCAAAATACCATCACTCTATACTTGGCCTCCATGTAGAATTCACCTTATTCCTATGTATTCTCTCCTATTAACTACTTTTTTTTGAGATAGAGCCTTGCTCTGTTGCCCAGGCTGGAGTGCAGCAGCAGAATCCTGACTCATTGCAACCCTCTGCCTCCCAGGTTTAAACGATTCTCCTGCCTCAGCCTCCTGAGTAGCTGGGATTACAGGCACCCACCAGCATACCCAGGTAATTTTTGTATTTTTAGTAGAGATGGGGTTTCACCAGGTTGGCCAGGCTGGTCTCAAACTCCTGACCTCAGGTGATCCCCCTGCCTCAGCCTCCCAAAGTTCTGGGATTATAGGGGTGAGCCACTGTGCCTGGCTAATTACTTTTATAACTCATTTTCTCCTCACCTGAATATAAGTCATTGAGGGCAGTGATTATGTCATTTTCATGCCTCTCCCCATCATCAACCCTTGCCTCTACTGCTAGTATTTTGGACATGGTAGGTACCCAATAGTTACTAAATAAGTGTGAAAAGTGTAAATGCCTCTGAAAAAATGATTGTATTCATCATGCAGAAGTGAGAGATAAAGTAACACAATGTAGAAAATAAAAAGATAATAAATGTTATTAGATAACTGATCAGGTACTCTTGGTTTCTTTCAGCCAACTTCTAGAGAATGGTAGTAGGAATTGGAAGACAAGAGGAATAGATTAGAGAAGTAAAGGACAGGTAATCAATCAAACATAGGGTTATTCAATGTTTTTTAGTCAGTTCAGGCTGCTATAACAAAGTACCATAGGCTGGGTGTCTTATAAATAACAGCAATTTATTTCTCACAGTTTTGGAGGCTGGAAGTCATAGATTGACGTGTCAGCCTGGTCAGTTTCTAGAGAGGACTCTCTTTTGGTAGCAAACTGCTGACTTCTCATTGTGTCCTAACATGATGTAAAGAGAGCAAGAGAGGTTTCTGGCCTCTTCTTATAAGGGCACTAATTCTATTCATGAGGACTACACTCTCATGACCTAATTACCTCCTCAAAATCCCACTTTCAAATACTATCTTATTGGGAATTGGATTTCAACATATGAATGTTGGCGAGATAGAAACCAGTGTTTACAGTATTCTAAGTAATGGGCTAATTCCTTTTGGAAGGGAGGACAGATAATGAAAAGCCACACAGGGCCGGGCACGGTGGCTCACGCCTGTAATCCCAGCACTTTGGGAGGCCGAGGCGGGTGGATCACGAGGTCAAGAGATCGAGACCATCCTGGTCAACATGGTGAAACCCCGT